CAATATGCACAATTGATCAACAAACTTTCTATTTCAAAAAGACAATTACTTAAACTATAGATATTTTTATAGTAATTAAAATTCAAATCTTTTTTGTATTTTTGATATTTTGACAAAACAGTAACAACTTCTAAAGATAACTTAAGTTTATGTAAAAAAAAAGTACTTAATATGAAAATATATTTCTCCTTATCATGAATCAGTAATAAGTATAGGATTTATGTTGTGGAAGTAGGCAAATTGTATTGTATCAAATAGGAGCAATATTATTCTTTACCCTTACTAGAGATGCTATAAAGAACATTAGCTAATTTAAAGTTTGAATAGTTTTGAAGACCGGCTAGGCAGGGAAGATGCTAGCTGTCACTCTAGAGTTCCCTTGATTACCTCCACCTGAGGGTTAACATCTCGTATCAAAACCTAAAACAATAAACCAAGTTGGGGGTATTAATCTGTCACATTAAAATCCTCTAACTCTACACCCTTCAAAGACAGTACCAGCCTAGTTTTTACATGTTCTCACAACAAATTTTAACATCTGAATAAGCCAAATCAAGAAGTAAATGAAGTACATGGATTTAAATCATCACAACATCCAACATTAAATATCAATACTCTCCACAACTTCCATCCAACACTTTAATTACTTATCAATTTAAGGAGAAAGATAAAGAAAACTACTCAGAATCCATGAAGAAAATAAAACCACATTTTAGTTTAAAAGTAAAAATCGTTGTCAAACCAACAATAATTCTCGATTAAAACTAAAAGTAGTTTAAAAATAAAAGATAAAATCTTATCTCAAATCCTCCACCAAACTCTTGAAGTCCTTTGAATCTTTTCTCTTTTACAACCCTCTTGACCCTCACAATAAAACTAAAAACGAAAATGATAAAGTAAATTTATGGTGTCTGAAAATCTCTCCGAAAATAACTCTCAAAAACTCCCCCTTTCTAACACTTTTCAAAACTTTCAAGCACACTTCAAAAAGTCTCAACTTCCTTCTTTTATAAATCTCAAAGAGGTGTCTTGATAACTCTTTAAAATGTGTCCCAATTCGATGTATTCTCCAAAGGAGACCTCCTTTCACAAGTCCTTAATCATAATTTCGATTCTAGTGGTCATAATCACCCTCTTTAGCCAATAGGTGCCTCAAATGCCCCTTCAAAATTTAGCAAAATGAAGTAAACTGTCATATAACTGTCTCTAGAGCTTAAGCGCGGGGCCTCTGGCGCTTAGGCGCGGCCTTCTCTGTTTCACCGGCGCTTAGGCGCCAAAACACTTTTGCACCATTTTCAAATTTTTGCTCCAAATTTGATCCTTTTTCACTCCTTTTAGCATTTTTCACCTTTTTACTTGTACCTGAAAGAAAAACACACAAATAACTTCCATTAAAGCGCAATATCTCAAAAATAGGTATAAAAATGTGTCTAAAACACTATATATTTTAGGTGCATCAGTATAAGAGGTCAACTTGAAG